CGTGGCGTGATCGGCGCAGGAGCCGCTGCCTCATCGCCGCGCGCGAGCTCCGCCGCGAGGGCCACAAAGTGGTGGTCTTCGAGCCAGAAGACCAACTCGGTGGCACCTGGGTCTACACCCCGGTGGTCGAGCCTTGGGACCCACTGGGGCTCGACCAGTGCCGAGGCGTGGTCCACTCAAGCCTCTACCTGTCTCTCCTCACCAACCTCCCCAGAGAAGTAATGGGTTTTCGCGATTATCCGTTTTTGCCCAAAAAATCAGACGAGAGAGAAGACAGAGACCCCAGAAGGTTTCCCGGTCACGCAGAGGTTTTGGCCTACTCGGAGGAGTTTTTGCTTCCGAGTTTGAGGTTGGTGAGGTTTGGGACGGAGGTTTTGTTTGCAAATTTGGTGGGAAATGGAAAGTGGAAAGTGAGGTCGAAGAAGAGAGGTGATCATGATGATGATGATGAGGTTGGAGTTGAAGAGGTTTTTGATGCTGTGGTTGTCTGTAATGGCCATATACTCTACCTCGTATTGCTGAAATTCATGGTAAATAAATGCATTTTCGATTTTGGTGAAGATAATTACTTGGACTTTGAGGTTGCCAGTTTCGTTTTTAACAACTCTGCGTGATTGTTAACAACTTTGTTTTGTTCCTTGTTTGAAAGTTGGTTCAGAGCAGGGCTTCAACACGGTACTTTGAAGAGAGTGTATTTAATGAAATTTGGATGCTTTTCATGCGAATTTGGACTGTTAGAGAACTTGTAATAGATTTTACTGAATATGAATAGTGAAGTCTATGGGCCGACTTAAAGAATAAAACTTGGCTAAAGAAACGATAGTTTTAATCCAAATTCCCCTTATTTTATGTATTTATCTTCTTGCAGGCACTGATAAATGGCCAGGGAAGCAAATGCACAGCCACAACTACCGTATTCCAGAGCCATTCGGAGATCAGGTCTGTCTCAGCACTCAACATTAATCTTTCATGTCAACGGACATTAAACTTATGTTTTTTATAAAAGTTGTGTGATTATACTGAATTCTGATGTTCACATTGCTTTGCTATCGTGGGGTACGGAGATGTTCTAAAGGGAACGAATTCCAGGCCTATTAAGCGTTCAGGATAAACTGAAATTCAAAATTTAACTGTATTTGTCAAACAATTGAAAGTAGTTTTGATGAAAAGTGGTGCAAATAAATAGGATCTATTAAAAATGACTAGGTCATTAGTACAAATTTCGGTTTTGTTTCCTTCCCTATATGACCTTATCATTCCCTCCCATTTCCTACATTCAAACAGGTAGTAATTTGTATAGGGAGCTCAGCAAGTGCAGCCGATATTTCTAGAGACATAGCCGGAGTTGCCAAAGAAGTTCATATTGCATCTAGGTCAGCTCTTGATGGAACCACTAAAAGGCATCCAAGCTATGATAATATATGGCTTCATTCTATGGTAAAACTACTCGGGTACTCACCCATGGTAAGAATTGGGTGGTATAATATGAGAAGCCTTTTAAGGCTTACTTTCGCAATATTGTGAAGTAACTAAATTAAAAATCCTAATCAATATCCAAACCAATTATGCAGATAGAAAGAGTCCATGAAGATAGTAGTGTCGCGTTCCAGGATGGCAGCGTTGTCTTTGTCGATGTCATTCTTCATTGCACAGGGAATGCTTTCTAATTTGGCTTCGGTTTATTTTAGTATTTTACCTTAATGTTTGGTAGGGGAGAATAGGTGAAGGAAATAAAAGAGTGGAAGGATTTTTGTGGAGAAAATGGATTTGCGGGATGTTTGACTGAGCGGATAGAAGCACCCATGGGTCTTACATTTCTAATCCATCAAAGTAAGCGGATAGAAAACTCGTTACTCATTGCATAGTATTTGTTCTATGAAATCAAATAATATCGATTAATTGGTAAAAACATTCTCTCACCTCTCAAATTCTTTCCTTTCATCATACCAAATGAGATAAAGGAAAAACAACTTTGTTTCTCTCAAACATAATTTCGATGTCCTATGTGTTTTGCTCTCTCCTTTTTCCTTTCCTTCTTACCAAAGAGAATGTTAATGCTATTTCGTGATATTCACATTAAGCACAAGGATTATGTTCCTTAGAAAGTGAAACGCATAAAAATAATAAAACACTGAACGTTTACTTTCACTATGTTCCCACATAAAGGTACAAATACCATTTCCCTTTTCTTGACACCAAAGGCCTTGTAACTGTGGACGACAACCGCATGGGGCTGCTGTATAATCACATCTTTCCACCAGCCTTGGCTCCAGGGCTTTCCTTTGTCGGGTTACCATGGAAGGTATATATCTCTTCACAACAAGAATTTAACATGTTCTCATCTATATGATTCCTTGGTTGGTAAGTTTGCAGTCTATTGTTTCCAGGTTGTTCCGTTTCCCATGTTTGAATATCAGAGTAAGTGGATAGCAGGTGCACTTTCTGGTCGTCTTGCACTTCCATCGGTAGAAGAGATGATGGACAATATCAGCTCATTTCACTCCGAGCTCGAAGTTTCTGGCATACCTAAGCGCTATACTCATAACTTGGGAGATTCTCAGGTTAAACTTTCTTTCTTCAACATTTAACTTTGTTTTCGGCGGAAAACTGGTGTGGCTTTTGCCTGAGGCTGCAAACTTTTATGAAACACCATTAAGAATTTTTATGGGAAGAAGTATCTCTGAAGTTCTGCGTTTTGCAGTTTGAGTATGATGATTGGCTTGCCGTTCAATCTGGGTGTCCAGTCAATGAAGAATGGAGGAAACAAATGTATTTTGCAACTTCCAAGAACAGAATCTTGAGACCAGAAAAATACCATGATGTTTGGGAAGATGATCATTTGGTATCACAAGCTCACCAAGACTTTGTTAAATACTCTCCTAATGGGCTACTCACAAATGGAAAAACCAGTTCCTAAATTTTAATTTCTTTTCTAAAATTTATTACAATAAGTGAAGAATAAAAGTTTCTTCAATTTCCTCATTTGGAACTCTTTGTACATATGCTCATTTTATCAGGAATAAAATTAGCCCCTCTAATGGAGGCGGAGCGACGCTTTTGTTGTGTATTTCATATAAAAAGAGACGAAACTGTAAGACTACTTTCTATTAGGTTTTTTTATTTTATTTTTTATTGTTTACTTTCTATTAGTTATCAAAATTGACATTATAAAATCTCAATGAACGAGTTACAAACCATGTGTTTGTTTCATAAATTTAAACTATTATTTAAATCTTTTTATTAAAGTATTTTTTTTTTACAAAATTTAAATTTATGTTCAAAATGATACTAGTCGCGTTTTGATAAATCCAAGTTGAAGAACCGTGAAGCATGTCAACTTAGTCTGGCAATGAGTGAAGTCGACTTTCCATAACAATACTACTTTACCAATGTTCTAAAAATTATAATTAAAAAGGCAATGGTTGTGTGAAAGGAAAATCATTTTCTATGGAACACTACTAAAATGGTAAATGTCCCTATCTATTCATTTTTATTTAAATTTTTTGGTTATTAGTTTATATATTTGGACACGAATCCAAAACTTGAATCCCACTTGTAAAATTATATTTTTTAAGGATTAATTTTAAAAATTTTTCCTAACTATGACCCTTGTAATACTTTATTCTTCGAATTTCAAAATGTAACATCCGTTCACCTCGAACTTTATTCCGTTAACAATTTTGCCCATTACATTACACTGAGTGATGAAATTCGCCATGTGTCCATTATTTAGTGAGATTTAAAAGTACAATGACGCTTATACCCATCTTCGTTCATAATCACTGGTCTTCGATATTACCTATATCGACATAATTCACCATATTCGTTCCCAAAAACTAATTCTTTTTTTTTCCTCACCTCGTTCATCCATGGCGAGTTTCTCGTTCATCCATGGCGAGTTCCTCGTTCATCTTCGTTCCCTTGTCCTTTCATTCTCTTCCGGTTTCTCCGGCACGCCTATTCTCATACTGAGTCGTGGAGGCTTTTTACTCTTTTTGGTTTGGATCTCTCACTTTTCTTCATTCTTTATTGTGGGATGTTGGTTCGTTTTATGTTGAAATTCTTGCTTTAATTTGGTTATGCCTATTTTTTTCCCGTTGGATTTCTTTGTAGACAATGTTTGTACTCCATTAAACCTTCTAATCAAAGCCAAGATGTTAATGCACATTCACAGGGTGATGATTTTTCTTTCATTACCTGTTCTGTTTCTTTTTTTTCTCTCTCTTATTCATTTTTTTCGTTGGGTCGTTGCATGGTATAGGGTTTTTTTAGTTGCCTTTTGTTTTTCTTTGTGTGTTAAAGTATTTGTTCTTATATGATAATTTTTTAGGACTTCAGCTTGAGACATTGCACTTGTTGGAGATGTAGCAAAGGCTGTTTGTGTATCTCTGTTTTTTTTCTTATGGTGGTTGGTGCATTCATCACTACTCCTATGGGAGGAGAAATCAAATGTGCTACATGGAGTGAAGGCGAATGAGGAGTCTATTGTAATAGATTAATCCTTTATATATTTATGCATTTCTTTTTTTTTAATAATATGGAGTTTTTGAAGGGTATTTTACGATAATATTCTCCTCAGATGAGTCATTTACGTGACACATCTGTCACTCATTGTAACAAAAGGAGAAAACTTGTTAACGGAACAAAGTTCGGGAGAAACGAATGTTATGTTTTGAAATTTAAGGAGCAAAGTGTTATAAAGGTTACAAGACTGAGAAATTTTTTGAAATTAATCATTTTTTTAATTTCAAATTTACAACATGAATATTGGAGCTTTTGATATGTACCATAAAAAAAAAAGAAATTGACATAAACCCAAAAGAATATAAAATTATGGCATGCCACACAATTTTATTCAATAGATAAAAGTTCTTAAAATTTGTTATTTTGTAAAAGTGCAATTGCGGTTCAATCCAATACTAAACAAAAATCCCTAATTTTTAGCGATTAAAACTGTTAAGCGGGTGATTCATACCACTAATAATGACAATATACCACTAACAGATTTTTCTAAACCCATCATTAGGGCTTCTTTTGCACTATAGAAGTCGTCCTCTTTCTCTCTCGCTCCACACAAAAAAACCCAGCTATAAAAGTGTATTTGTATTGTATTCATATATTTCATTAAATTTTCAACTCCGTCCTGTCATTCTCGAGCGGGAAATGGCGACCACTCACTCCCCATATGTATAACCCTCCCCACAATCTTCTTCCCTTTTGACCCTTCTTTTCTCTTCGTTTCGATTCGATTCTCTCAAAACGAAAATCTCCTTTCTTTTTCTCTTCTCCGATTCTCTTTGGGTTTCGTCCATCGATTGCTTTGCCCAATTCAATTGGATCGATCGACGAAGATAGATAAGGGTTTAAACTTTTTTGATTAGGGTTTTAGCGTTAGGGCTATTTTTCTCTTAAATTGTTGCTGGTTTTTTGGACGATGGACGAGAGTGTTCTTGATGATATCATAAGGCGTCTTGTTGCGGCGAAGAGCGGACGGACCACCAAGCAGGTTCAGCTCACGGAGGCCGAGATACGCCAGCTCTGTGCGACCTCCAAGGAGATTTTTCTCAGCCAGCCTAATCTTCTCGAGCTCGAAGCTCCCATAAAGATTTGTGGTAATTCCTTTTTGTATTTATGGGTTGAAGAAAGATTCTGATATGTTTTCTCGGTTGTTTCTTTGTTGGTATTTAACTTCTGCTTCGGAATTTTTTTAATATTATTAAGTTTGCAATTTCAGTTGCTTGTTTGTTTATGTTTTGAATTTGGATATGGGAGTGCGAGGAAAAAAAAAATATTTTTTTCATTGAAAGTGAACTATTTTCTCGTCGATTTTGCTGAGTTTTATTTGTTAAGGAAGGTTATTTTTTTTTTTTTTGGTTTCTTTGAGAGGGTTATTACTGTGATTGAGATTTGTTTAGCTATGTGTGAAAATGCAGAGGGGGAAAAAGAGGTAACTCGTAAAATAATAATAAAAAACTGTTGGTTTTCTCTTTATTTGGCATTTAAGGACATACTTGAGATGGGATTTGCCATAACGGTTAGTTTTTTAGCCAAAAGCTTTCTGAGCGGCTTAAGAAGGGTGGAAATATTTGTAATTTGTATTAGAAATGATATTGCTGGTTGTTAAAATTTACCATGAAACCATCATGTTCCTCGTCAACACTCAAAACAAAGTAAGCTTGTGATGGTTAAGGCTCTAACTCAAATATGCTCTGAATTTGGGATCTGGGTTGATTGCGTGCACTATCAGAAATGAACTTATTTGAATTTAGTTTTTGCCTGTTATGTTGTCAGTTCATGTTTTAAAGATATTTAAGTCATTTATGATTGCAAGTTTGCTTATTATCCCTATTTGTTGGTTTAGCCATTAAAGAATTATGTTGGATTGGAAAGTAAAATGTTCGATCGTGTTTTTGATTATGTCCATGGCTTTCTATGTATCAGAACTTCTTTCTAAGATACATTTCCATGTTGGTTAATAGGTTGTTAATGCCATTTTTCTGCATTTGTTTACAGGAGATGTTCACGGTCAGTATTCTGATCTTTTGAGGTTGTTCGAGTACGGTGGATTCCCTCCTGAAGCAAACTATTTGTTCCTTGGGGACTATGTGGATCGTGGTAAGCAGAGCATAGAGACTATATGCCTTCTTCTCACGTACAAGATCAAATACAAGGAGAATTTCTTTCTTCTCAGGGGCAACCATGAATGTGCTTCCATCAACCGAATATATGGGTTTTATGATGAGTGCAAGAGGAGATTCAACGTTCGTGTTTGGAAGACGTTTACTGACTGCTTTAACTGTCTTCCTGTTGCCGCTCTTATAGATGAGAAGATCCTTTGCATGCACGGAGGTTTATCTCCTGATTTAAAACACCTGGATCAGATTAGGAATATTGCTCGCCCTGTTGATGTGCCAGATCAAGGACTTCTCTGTGATCTCTTATGGGCTGATCCAGATAAGGATGTTGAAGGCTGGGGGGAAAATGACCGAGGTGTTTCATATACGTTTGGGGCTGACAAGGTTGCTGAATTTCTTCAAAAACACGACCTTGACCTCGTTTGCCGTGCTCACCAGGTGATATGACCAATCAATCTTTTGGGTCTATTGTTGCTTCATGCTCGTGGTCTCATGAATATCGCTGAGCTGAATATTAACTTTTGGGAACTTATTTTTAACTAGTTTTGCTTAATAATGCATATCATATTCATACATTGGTAAATGAGGGGAGGGAAAACTAGTGGAGTTAGTCACGACATTAGATTCTATTTGTATGTTTAAGCCTGTGTATATGCTCGACTTGTTAGTTTTCTGACATATCATATGCTTCATTTCCATGATTACTACTAAACTTTGTGATTATATCATGCGTGGAGTGGATGGTTGGTATAGGATATTACGTTAATGAAGTGTCTACTGAGTATTATGGGTACCTTTGTGCACTGTTATAGTAAACTAGTAATTAGTGATCATGCTCGGTGCTTGTGGATGCTAGGATCCTGTTTGACAAGAAAGCACAAAGTAATCTAGTGTAGAACTTGTTCTACTCCTAAGAAGATATTTAGGCTCCGTTCATTTCGCTAATTCGAATTTAGAATTCGAGTTTTGTTACAGTAAAAAACTCTCACAAACAATCACATCTAACTTTTTTGCCACAGTAAAAAGCTCTCACATAAAATCACATCTCAACTCGAATTAAAAACTCGAATCAACGAACTAAACGGGCCCTTAATGAATTGATTTTCTCACTTGTCTCACCTAATTGGACCAATATACAATCACTATTGTTTAATGTTTATCCATTAAGCACGTAAATCTCAACCCAATTTTGGCACACATTTTCTTTGGCTCAGCCCTTTAGTGAAGAAACAATGTTAAAAATGTTGAGTGACTATTTTCTTTTTATTTGGTTTCATCTAGGATTTACTGGTTTTTGTTTCTTAGGTTGTTGAGGATGGATACGAGTTTTTTGCAAAGCGGCAGCTGGTAACAATATTTTCAGCTCCAAATTACTGCGGTGAGTTCGACAATGCTGGTGCCATGATGAGTGTCGATGATTCATTGACATGTTCTTTCCAGATCCTTAAAGCTTCTGACAAGAAGGGAAAGCTTGGAATTGGGAACAGCACGGTACGACCAGGAACTCCACCTCATAAGGTACCAAAAGTCTCTTAAACAGGAGTCACAATACTAGAAGCTGCAATTCAACTAATAGTCTAATACAAAGCATTATTATTATTATTTTTTTTCCAGGGTAAGGGATAATTGGTGCCACTATAAGTGTGGTAAATCATGAGTTTGAAGAAAAGCATAATTGCGGGCTGTTCTAGAGTAGCGTCCCATCTCAATGTCTTAAGTTGTTTTGGTCTGAACTGGTGCTGCTGCCTGACTCTGACATGGTTGTAACTGCGAGGTTGATGATAAAAATCAGCTCTGCCCATTTGTGCCATGTTCTTTACACACAATAATCAGGACACAAAAGTTACTCCCTACACCTTGGAAAGAGCCGACAAGCCTTAATATAGCGTTAACCCAGTTTTCCCTCCCTCCCTTTTTCTTTCTTCTTACTTGAAAACTAAGTTATAATTGAGTTCTTGACTTTGTTGTGTGGATCGGAGCTTCATGATTTTTATTTTATGGAAATACTTCCATTGGCAACACTTCTTTCTGGATCGACTACCTTTTTTGGGATGAATTGTATGAAATTGTTGATTTAAATTTTTTGCTTATTTGTACTATGTGCTTTGTTCATAGGATGGAAGTAGAGACTATAAAGGGTATGTCGTTTTCTCCTGTGTCTTTGTTGTGTTTATTGTCGCTTTGCATGTTTGATGTCATTTCTTGTCGTTGTCAATGTAAGATCAATGATTGTTTTGCCAATTGTTGTCGCTTTATATGGGCCCGCTTAGTTTATTGATTCGAGTTTTTAATTCGAATTGAGATGTGACTTTATAAGAGAGTTTTTTACTGTAGTAAAAAAGCTAGATGTGACTATTTTTGAGAGTTTTTCACTGTAACAAAACTCGAATTCTAAACTCGAATCGGTGAAATGAACGGGGCCTATGTTGATACCTTTCATGTCGTTTTTTGGTCATTGTCGTTTCGTTTTCTCATAGTTTGTTTCTTTTTTTCCTCATTGCCGTTTCCTTAAGTCATTGGTTTTCATGTCATCATTGTTTTACCAGTTTTGGTCCTTTTTACAGTGGACTTCGCTCTTTAATCTTTCTCGTGTTATATATTGATGTCGTTTCTTGTCGTTGTCATGTTTTGTGTACCAAGGTTGTTCATCGTTGATATCGTTTCGGTTGCCATTGTCATTCTCTACGTTAATGCGTTCCTGCTCTTGTCGTTTGACGGTTACTGTCGTTTTCTTAAGTAGGTCGTCCTTTTACATTGGTGTTTTCTCATTACTGAATATTGCCTTTTCAATTGGTATTGTCGTTTTCTTCAATGTGCTTTCATGTTGTCGTTCCCTTTTTCAAGTCATTGTCGTTTTCTTAACTCACCGCTATTTTTGCGACTAGGGTCTCTTACACATTGCCGTCTGTTTTTTCCCAACGTTGTCGTCTTGGGTTTTACTCTGATGTTTGATGTTTGATGTCCTTGTTCGATTCTTCTTCGGCAATTGTCGTTTTCTAAATCCATGTTTCTTTATCCATTTTCTCCATCTGAGTCATCGATTTTTTTTATTGGAGCTAAATGCAGTCCTTTCGCAGAGAACTGTGTGAGGGACTACCCAAACAAAAATAGGTTGAAGGGACCTTGTGCCAATAAATGATCTATTGTCTACGAGAAATACAATTCTTCTTTCCCATATAGTAAAAAATTAATTTATATTAAGAAGCAGCATACCTATCAAAGAAATTGGGTAAAAATCCCAAGAAACTAAATGAGTTACAGCCACAACTGCTTTACTTATTTTTCTTAGAAACGGGCTTCCTTGACTTCTTCTTGGGTGATTCATCTTTGCTGAAAAGATCATTATACTTCTCCAAGATCCTCTCTTTATCTTCAAGTCTGCCTAAAGCCTCGTATGCGTTTGCCACTCTAAGCACTATTGATTTCTCAGGAGGTTTTCGATCATATGCTTCCAGCTCCTCGAAAAGCTATCAAAAATGAAAACATGATCATATGCTTTAGTGACTTGCAAATATCTTTTATGCCTTTTACCAAACACCCAACTCGAATCGTGTTATGTGTGAAGAACTATTGGGGACTCCAAAAGCTACCAAACTGGCTCAAAATCAACTTACATTGCTTGTGAATTTTGATACAAATAACTTGAGATTGCAGGACATTATAGCTGAAAAATCAAGCAACAACCTTGAAAAGCATATGATTTACAGCAAAAGAAAAGAGCTTACCTCTACGAGTTTGTCCAACATGTTGTTGCGGTAGTATATAGCTATCATTCGCCGGCATAACTGCCAAGGAACCGAATGGTAATAGCCGCCGATTTTCTTGTCCCAAAATTCATGTGCTTCATCAGCTCTATTGTCCATATCTAGAGCTAGTATTAACTGCCCGTATGTGCCCATTGTCGTTCCCTGCCCCTTGCTTAGCATCCATTTAATGACCTACAAGAGAAAATTCAGAAACCAAGATTGGCATAGAACAGAGAGAGAGAGAGAGAGAGAGAGAGAGAGAGGTATAATACCTGCACAACTCTATGCCACTCTTGTTCTTTCTCAAGAACAAGCAGTGCCCCTTTAAGCAATGCTATAGGGAAGTTTTCCTCCCACGCAACCCAAGCGTCAAGCGCACTGTAAACAGCCTCCTTGCTGTTCTTGATATCACGAAGCTGCAAAGTTGTAGTCATCTTAATAGTTTTCTCTCGGGATGTGCTTGGTAAGATGAACAGAGAATAGGAAGGAAGAAAATGTGTGTAATCTAGGAGGAGTAAAAATTCGAGTCCCATCGAGGGGTTTTGAATCACTCACCTAATCTATTCCCTCGTCTAATCACTCCTACCAAACAACCATAAGTCTTAAAATCCATTCACTAATCCGCCCACCCCTAATACTCCCACATTTCCTCCTACCAAACAAGGTCTTAATAGGAAGTGCTAGAAACAAGAAACATCATACCTTTACAGAAAAAAGAGAGCTAATACTCAGTAAATAGCAAAGCTCAAACTCATGTACTTACGGTCTTCACTAGAAAATCGACCTTGTCCGTTTTCGCAATATTTCCAGAGATTCGGTACTTGTCTATATCGCCCGCGGCATTTTTCTCCCGGTGTTGATGACCGGGGGCTTGGATGTTGCGTTGACCCTAGAATGCGCATAGATAGCAGTTGACAGTTAATCGAAAAACAGTAGTGGATAAGAGATACAAACAACGTTCTAGATTAAATTCGTCTTCCTACAGTTAAACAAGGATTAACCAGAATATCATTGCCACAGAGCTAACATCCAAGAAACATATCAATCGAATTCAGACGAAACGACAATGGGATTACCACAAAACGATCAAATATTTATGATAAAAGGGCAATTTGATACTTCTAAGGTACCTCCAATGGTGATGGAGAATTTGCAGTCTTTTGCACCATTATACTACTAATACTGCTATAGCCATGGTTAATAATTTGGAATCTTCTCAATCCCAACCGACTTAATCGACCAATCCCAATCTGTACAAAATCAAACACAAAAAAAAAGACGAAATTTCAGAGCTATTTTAACACAGAAGCAACACACATTTTTTTTTACAAAATAAACAAAAATTGCGAGCCAATATCATAAAACTCAGTTAAAAACTTGCCATTTTGGTCGCGAAAGAGAACGGCGGCGGCGCTGGGAAGAAGAAAGTGTAGAATTTGCATTGCAGGCATTAGATTAGAGCTCCAATCTAAGGGAAGAAAAAAGTTTGTCTCTTTAATCAAATTCAAGCCATTTCAATTCTTACCTGCTTCAGAACTCGGACGTATAAGATCAGATGCTAAGAAAGACAAAGCTCTTCACTCTTGTCGTCGTCGTCCTAGAGAGAGAGAGAGAGAGAGCGGTGGCGTTCGAGCAAAAGACGAGTCCTTTAGAAGGAGGGTTCTATGAGTATTGCTTTTCATTTTGGATTATTCTTATTTGTGTCCCCAATATTTATGTTCATTCTCACTTTGACCCACAATGTTTTAAAAAATTATTACTACACCACTTCAAGTTTTAAATTAGTCTCACTTAACTCTCTTGGTAGTTGGTTAGAATTTTTGGTAAGACAAACTGTAGAAATAGAAGAGTTTTGGTGAGAAATTTTGAGATATTGTCTCCTTGTTATAGAAGCATTTCACTTTGCCTTCGAAGCTCCGTGACATTGTCCATCTACGGTATGAATCTTTTTATTTTTTATTTTTTTGGCTAAAATTTGAGTTTTATTTTTGTTAGACAATGATTTAATGGTTGTATATAGTGGAATTGTTGTTAAATCTATGTGTAGCTTTTTTATTTGGTTTTATTTCAAGTACTAGTCCCGTTCGGTTCGTTAATTTGAGTTTTTAATTCGAGTTGAAATGTGATGTTGTGTGAGAACTTTTTACTCTAACAAAAAAGTTAGATGTGACTGTTTCTGAGAGCTTTTTACTGTAGCAAAACTCGAATCAGCGAAATGAAGGGGGCCAGATTTAAACTCAACAGTTTACGGATGGAGTCAGGTCGAGTCGTGTTCTTGCCTTGATAAAATGACTTTGTTTACATCGCCACTCAATGTCGACAAAAGTAACCAAAGTTATTTTATAATATTTTAATTTGGAAAACATAAGAAAAGTTGTTAAATAATCTTTATAATTCATATTCATTAACTAGTTAAAACCTTGAAACGATGAACGTGAAGCCTGGAACATGTGAGTCTGTGACTATACACTTTGGAAAACAAGTAAGCAAAGTTGTTTGCTTGAAATGTTAACGCAATGTTCTTGCAGTTCTCAAGTTAATCCACCTTTAAATTGAAAATTTAAAAACTAACCAATACATTATTTTCATTAGTTCATTTTATAAACTATATGGCGCGCGCTATAATCTTATAATCTCACTTAAAAAAAAAAAATCTTATAATTTCAAATAAACAACACATGAACTAGCCAAAATAATAATAATAATAATAATAATAATAATAATAATAATAATAATAATAATAACTAACACATGCATTTAGTGGTAAACTATTCGGTGAACCATAAACCGAATATCTTAAATTCGACTCTCCTAAAATAATTTTCATGAACTTTTCCATTCATGAAACTCATGAAGTGTCTATAGGCTTATGAAATATTTGCAAAAAGTAGAATTAAAGTGGTTGTGAAACATGAATTAGTTGGGTAGCTACATAAATAACAAGTGATTGTGAATACGAAATTAGGAAGCAATAATAAATGTTCATCCCTATTCTTCTTCTACTTTGTATCCGCCCAAAACAGTAAGTAATTACACCAGAAATCATCCATACATGTCCCTCAAATTGTCTCAGCCCCTAAACCACATTATATTATGTTATGTTATACTATACTATTATTATTACATTAAACATATCAATACAAAGGTGACCGTTGAGGAACACCCTTCTTCTTGATCTTCTTGTTTTTCTTCACAAACTCTGTGGCTGCTGCAAAGGAGACTAAAACTGTTGTGCAATTGTTCTTCTCCCCACCACCTGAAGATATACTACCGGTTGACCCGGAGAGCAAAACCGGCGAGTTGAGGACTGAGTCGGGGGTAATTTGGTCATCCGCCGTCTCCGAGAGGTTCTCTAGTTTTTGTCTTTTTGGAGGCTGAAGCAAAAGTTCGCAGTTTTGAATTGGTTTTTGTTCCTTATTGTTGGTGGTTTCTTTTTTCAGGGCCACGAGATGATTGACCTATTTATTAGTAAGTAACCCATAAACTTAATAAATTGCATTGGGGGGCAAATAAAAGACAGTGAAATAAGAAGATTTCGGTGGTGGGGTACCAAAAAGATATCTTACTATAGTATTGCATAGTTAGTAATTCTTCGTTTTTTGTAAATTACGTTAAATTTTCACTCTTTTCACTGTGATAAATTTTAATGTTATCTAATATCTCGTCATTCAAAAGAGTGCAATACAATATTTAATTCTCAACGAAATAAAGCCTGTAAAGAAGTCACAGGGTAAAAGAAAACTGTAGTAGTATTGCTTAATTTTAGACCATAAAGTTTCTTCAAGCTTTTGTTAAATGCATATGTTTTTACTGTTTGAAATTACACAATACTAATTGCTATATATTTTTCTGAAAAACTTTCATAACAGAGTTCTCTTAGCACTAAAATTTGGAGAAATTGGTGTAAATAATAGAACCTTGCAGGAGAGAGAGCAGAAGAGATATGGATGTTGGAGGCTGCGATCACAACTTATGCATAAGTTACCAAAAGAAGCTCTGAAGGGGCGTGACAAGATTGGCCTTTGCTTCAAAAACACCACTTTTGCACTATTTGTTGTGTACGGCTGTTTAATTAACATTATATATATATAGCTATAAAGAAGCTCTTAATTAGTGAATTTTATAATTTCCTTTTTCTTCTCCAGTAGAAAATTCAGGAGTGAGATTTTGTTATATTTAGAGTGTCCTTACTTGAACGAGAGAACAATCAATCAACTTTTGGGCATCCCCTAAACGTATCACATCATGATAAACATACCTTCTTATCTATTACAAAGGAAAAAAGAAACATCATATAAATATTGTACATACATCATATAAATATTGTACATACATATATATATATACACACACACACACACACACACACACACACATATATGTATATAAGAGAGAGAGAAAAGAACCTGTAAGAGGCAATGAAGACGGTGAGGAGGTAAACAGTGGACGCATATGGTGGTACAACAGTCCAAACAAAATATGTTTTTTTCATTCTTTTTAGTAAACTCATGGACCAAACAAGGCCTAAAGAAGTTGTTCTCTCCTAGAAGAGTCTCCAGCCACTCAGGAATATTAGAAATCACACCAACCTGCAAAACCCAACAAGAAAAACTTGTTGATCAACAAAAAAAAAGTACAAGTGATGAGGTCAGGAAATTCAAATTCAACATAAAGAAGCTCACCATTTTTTGTTTTGTTTTGATGTTTTTCCAAGTGTTTGGGCTTGTCATGGATTATGAAGACAAGGCAGTACGAGTGCCATCAAGAAAGATTGCATGCACATTAACTGGGGACATATATAGAGACTAGAGAGAGAAAGAGTAAACGGTAGAAGAGGAGTTAAACACTTGAATGAAGAAAAAGAGTGATCAGTAGAGGGGAAGTTGGGGCCTTATTTAAAACAGTACTTCAATAAGATCGACCATAATTTGCGCCTTTGCAAGTTTGCGGTGTCTTTTTTGGTCTCAAATCTCGGAGTAAAGAGTAAAATATAGGTTTATCAAGAAGGTTGTGCAATGATCCATGGCTTGTTACTGAAAACTTGTTTATTTTATTATTTGTGTATTTGTTGGGATTTGTACAGTTCTAATATTGTTGTCCTTCCATTGGAGAATTCAACAGGAATTACGGCACAGACTTATTCATAATAATAACTTATCTTTAGTAGACGCTGACCTATGTGTTTCTCTGCAATCCCCACCATCACTCTACTTATATTATAGCTAGTCCTTTCATATAAGAACACATTTTTTTTGGTCAGATCATGCCATTCCTTATTTACAAGACCAATGATGATATTCATTCAAAATCTCTCTACTATTCTTCTTACTTCTTTATCCGTTGTTTCTCTCTCCTACCAAACATAGTCTAAGTGCGACAATCGTTGCATCTCAGATAAAAAGTTAATATAACACGAGTCAATGCCTCATGGAAGGTTAGATGTGACAATAAATGGATAGGTGGAATAAATACCATTCATATTCATATGTTCCAAGCCATGGAACAAGAAATATAGAAGCCAATTTCTTTAAATAGCAGTTTCTGTTTTTCTTAAATCCAGTTTGCCTTTGGCTGCATGAGGATTTAAGTCACGGCTATTCCTGGTAAAACTTCACACATTCTTTAGTGGAACGCCTAATGTTATTGTGGGATCCATGCATACAACTTATACAGCAATAACATGACAATCGACATTCATAATTGCATAAAATTTATAGGGTGTCACAATTACAAGATTTACATGGTACGATAACATATTAGTTAGCACATTTTTTGTAGATGTCACATATGAGATGAGATTGGGCCATTTGGAGCTTAAACATGGTTTCAATGTCGTCTTTTGTCAACACGTGACACGTGTCTTTGATATGAAACCGTTATCGTCACTTCTAAGAAAGAAAACATTTCATTTTATCTCGGTTTTTGCGGTCCATGTCTAAAACAAGCATGCGGTTTATGCGAAAAACGACATGCTCAAAAAGTATATAATTCAAGCACATATCAACCTTCAGGGATATTGACAAAAAATGCGTACATTTGGGTGTTATACACTATCCACAATGTAAAGAAGGTCTGAATGAAAAAACGGCAACTTTATGAAAACGATTTTATCATGCCATCCTTTTTCACGTTATTGTCGTTTTCCTCTGATTTGTTTCCCCTTCATGTTGTTTTTATTGTCATTGTTTTTATAAATATTTTTTGGATAGCGATCACGAAATCGGCAATAATCAAATGGTTAGACGGGATAACAATTGAAAAAGGAAACATGAATTATCTTTAAAAAAATTGAAAAATTGGATAAACGACAACAATCAAGGAGAAATAACAAAGAAAAACGACAACAAGATGTAAAGCCACATGAAGATAAAATCGGAATCAACTAAGGAGAGATGATGTACTCATCACATAACTATGTATATATATGTATGCGATGCATGTATATTTTGCGTATGTACTTATTTACGTATGATTTTATGGCGTATGCTGTAGGCCTGTAATTATGTATCTAAGTGTACGCTTGCATAATGTACCATAATTGTAATCTAAACATTTAAGCGACGTTATGATATATATGTTTAACACTTTGATGGACAAATAGATGAAGACAAAAAACAATAAAGGAATCTGAAGTACTCTTCTTATTATAATTGATTAAACAATGAAGCCTTTAAATAAGCTGTCCATCAACGGAAAGAACCAATAAAATAGCAACAGATTCTAAACCACTTAATAACATGCACCACTTACTCCTAAAAACTTGCCACGTATGAACAAATAAAACAAACTTAATAAAATACCTAAAAACTAGGATGACACAACATCACCACGTAACATAATCTTCATCTGAAACCTGTCTAAAATTTCTTGCACATACTTCCTTTGAGAAATAAAAATTTCAGCTGCAGATTGCACCACTTCAATGCCAAGAAAATAGTGCATCATTCCAAGATCAGACATATCAAATTCAACCATCATGGATCTCATACAATTTTCAAATATGGTACTATCATTTTCCAGTGAAAATAAGATCATCAACATATAAGCAAACAATGAACAATTTTCCTCCATCTCCAATCTTTGTAAAAAGTGTATGCTCATATGGACATTTCTTAAATCCATCTTTAGAAAAATAAGCATCTATACGACTATACCAAGCGCGTGGAGCTTGTTTTAGTCCGTATAATGCCTTTTTGAGTTTATAAACCTTATTTTCACTTCCAAGCTTCACATAACCAGGAGATTGATCGATAAATACCTGTTCCTGCAGGTCACCATGCAAGAATGCCGATTTCATGTCCAATTGGAAGATAGACCATGAATGTTGAGCTGCCAATGCAATCACCAGTCTGATCGTATCATGTCTTGCAACAGGAGCAAAAACTTCTCTATAATCCACTCCAAACTCTTGCTTATAGCCTTTAACTACTAAGCGTGCCTTGTATTTGTCAACTTCTCCATTCTCCTTCAATTTTGTCTTGTACACCCACTTGACACCAATTGTCTTGTGCCTTCTTGGAAGATCAATCAACTCCCAAGTGTTATTCCGTTCAATGGCTGCAATTTCTTCGTCCATTGCTGTTCGCCATTTGGATTCTTTGACATCTTCGAAAACTGTAGGATCACAATCCGAAAATAAAGCAAAATATGTAAGTGGGTCCTCAGTTTGGTCAATTCCGGTTACCTCATAATCAGTCATCCATGCAGGCCTTCTTCTAACGCGTTGGGTTGGTTCTTAGTGCTATCAGAGACGTAGAGAACAGAGTTAGAAGGACTGAAACTGAAGGATTTGAAGGTAAAGAACTACATTTTTCAAGCTATTAATCGATCAATTTTAGAAACCATACTCAACAAAGAATCTTCCAAGCAAATTTGGGATTCTATGAAGAGAAAATATCAAGGACCGACAAGAGCAAGAAGGCAGCAACTTCAAACACTTCGTACGGAATTCGAAACGCTTCGCATGAAGTCGGGAGAGTCCGTTTCTGATATTTTTTCATGAACAATGGCAATTATCAACAAGATGCGTGTGTATGGAGAAAAGATAGAAGATGTGACTGTGATTGAGAAGATTCTTCGTTCAATGACGCCAAAATTTAACTATGTTGTTTGTACAATTGAAGAATCAAATGATCTTGATGTTCTTTCGATGGATGAATTGCAGGGCTCTTTGTTGGTACATGAACAAAAAATGGCTCAACAAGAAAAAGAAGAGCAAGCATTGCAAGCCTCCACCAACAATCAGCCTTCGACGGCAAATAGAGCAGATCGAGGAAGAGGAAGAGGCAGAAGAAACAATGATCGTGGAAACCAACAACAGCATCAACACCAAGACAATCAATTTCAAGGAAGAGGAAGAGGACGAGGAGCCCACCACTTGACTACATATAAACCAAGGTCAGCAGACAAGTCCAATGTGGAGTGCTACAGATGTCATAAGTACGGCCACTACAAGTCTGAATGCCGAACTAATCTAAATAGACAACATGGAGAAATGTCTAATCTTGCAGAGAAGGAAGAAGAAGTATCCTTGTTAATGGTTTGTCATGCAAAGGAGGAAACCAACAAGAATTTGTGGTACTTAGACACAGGTTGCAGCAACCATATGTGTGGAGACAAGTCTGCATTTACTGAGTTGGATGAAACTTTCAGTGATAGTGTGAAGTTTGGTGACGATTCCAAAGTCTCTGTTATGGGAAAGGGAAAGGTGACAATCCAACTCAAGAACAACTCAACTCAGACAATCTCTAATGTCCTTTTTGTTCCAGATTTGAGAGCAAATTTACTAAGTGTTGGTCAGCTTCAAGAAAAGGGATTTGAAATCTCTATTAAAGATGGAGTTGCAGAATTGAAGATGTGAAGTTGGGCTTAGTTGCTCAAGTCAAAATGACAGCAAACCGAATGTTTCCTTTGTATCTCCATAATACAACCAACTCATGCTTCTCAATGAGATTGAAGGACGAGGCATGGCTATGGCATTTTTGCTACGGTCATCTTAACTTTGGCGGTCTAAAGACTCTTCAATAAAAGAATATGGTGTCTGGTTTTCCTCAAATTGCGATTCCCTCTCAGATTTGTGAAGAATGTGTTGTTAGCAAACAACATCGGAATCAATTTCCGCAAGAAAAATCTTGGAGAGCCAAGAAGCCTTTGGAATTAGTACACTCTGACATTTGTGGGCCAATAAATCCATCCTCGAATGGAGGTAAAAGATATCTAATTACCTTCATTGATGATTATACTCGAAAAATATGGGTATATTTTTTGCAGGAGAAATCATAGGCTTTTGCGGCCTTTAAGAATTATAAAGTGCTTATTGAGAAAGAAGCTGGCAGCCCAATTAAAGTTCTTCACACTGATTGTGGTGGAGAATACAATTCACATGAATTTGCAAATTTTTGTGAAATGCATGGCATCAAGAGACAACTCACAGCAGCTTACACGCCTCAACAAAATGGTGTCTGCGAGAGGAAGAACCGCACAATTCTAAATATGGTACGAAGCCTTTTGATGACGAGTGGTGTTCCAAAAAATTTCTAGCCCGAAGCAGTCAACTGGAGTATTCACATTTTGAACAGAAGTCCCACACTTGTTGTCCAAAATATGACACCTGAGGAAGCTTGGAGTGGGCGCAGACCTGCTGTAGATCACTTCAGAATTTTTGGGTGTATAGCATATGCTCATATTCCGGATCAGAAGAGGATAAAAACTAGGATGACACAACATCAACTAAATGACCACGTAACATAATCTTGACTAATTCAACAATCCCTCCCTTAGACTGAACCTTTGGAAACTTTCAGTTTAATGGGCTCTTCAACGTGTAAACACCAAGCAACTTCCTTAACTTTTGAAATCCAGCCAGCTTGAGAGACTTAGTAAAAATGTCAGCAACTTGATCTTCACTTCTGCAGTAGATGAGATCAATAACTATATAACAAGGTAAAAGTTATAATTCAAAAAAAAAAAAAGTTGTGGAAAGATGACGTGATAAGAACAAGGACAATTGCACGTGACCTCTGCATTCTTGAATTGTGGTTGCCTTTGGCACTTTGCTCCTGAAATTTGTAACCTTAATTAACAGTACCCTTTGCAACGGAATTCAACAAGTGGTAACAATCTGATTTGACAATAAATAATCATAATATTATGATAATGTAATTGATAAACATTAAGGGATTGGTTGATATTACAAACAATTAAAAAAAAGGTATGTACTTAAATTTTCTTTATAATGGGGAGGTGCCAATAATATGGAAATGAGGCTTAAAACCATAAACGACGAAAGCATGACAAAACTTTCATAATATTGAAAAAGCTCAAAGGAAAATAGGTATAAGGATGATGAACCTTATCGAAGTTAAACTCAAAATTTTAAAAGTGATCTGTGTTTCTCTTTTCAATATAATTCTTCACCTTTTATAAATTATAATCCTTTTTAATAGATCTTAAAATCGCTGTGTGTGTGAAGAGGGATGAAAAGAAAAGATGATGTCTTTAGAGAGGATTCGGCCCCAACCAACCATTGAACATCTAATTCGTGTTGTTTCTACTTTCTAATCCTTGTCGAAAGATACAATGTTGAAAATTTTGACGAGATTGTTTCTACCATCATTAAATCAATCCTCACCTTGTCTTGCCTCGTGTTGCCCTCCCTCTCCATCTGGTTGAGATGTTGACGATTTCTCTCCTTTTTCTGTCGACTTTGTTTCCTTTTTTATTACTTTTTTTCAATTTTCGTCTACAATCTTGTTTGTTTTAAAGAATATGTTGTTCTTGATACTTGATTTATAAATTAATGTGAATTTATAGATCTAAAAATTTTATCTACAATGTGTTCTAAAAAAATTCAAATTTTTTGTTCCATACAGTGTTGGAATATGTTGATATGTGTGTTGTGTTACTTGTGTAGGCTCATACCGAACGTTACCAACCGAGTCGAACCCATGGCGGTAGATTACTTATCAATCAAATTCTAATACCTATTGATTACGGTTTTTATTTTTGCAAAATTGGAATTTTAAACTCATCAGATCAAGAATAATCCTAACGTGTTCAAACTCACATTTCAGTGATACCTAAAACCACCCCATATATAATTCAAACGTAATCAATTTAGACCCAAGTGATAATCTTAAGAACAAATAAAGGTGACTCCAACACGGCATTTTTAGCTTAACAAACTTCTGAATTTTTTTCCCATGAAATTAATGCAATTTTGGATTTAGATTTTAGATTACATCCGAGTTGGTACTTGTTGCTTTGAAGAAGAAAACGAAACCTAATTGAGTTTAAATAAAGGGAAAATACACTATATAGCTTATTTCACACCTATATTTGAAGAAAATAGCATGTTTTTAAAAATGAAGAAATATATAGCATATTTTAAACAACTGAATTTGTAATTCCTATTTTACCCTCAATTTTAAAACCCTAATTTGATGTGCCTCTCTATCTGTTCCTCATATTTCTCTCATCCTATCTCTCCATATGGCCTATCTTTCTCTATATCTCCACTTTCTCTTTCTTCCATCAGACTCTCCCTCTCTCTCAGCCGCCACTCAATAACGTTGGCCACCTCGCCGGCGATCGTGACGTCGCGCCAGAGATCTTGACTCTACTTCGCAATCTCTCTCAACTCTGCGGTCTCTCTCATTCGTGGTTTTTATCTCACCTCCACGGTCTCTCTCTTATGCGGTTTCTCTCTCTCATCCGTGATCTCTCTCTCTATTCCACAACGACGACAAAGATCGAGGACGATGGAGAAGTTGTCACAGAGTTCCTCGCGGCCGCGAGATCTAGCCGTATCTAGTTCGTGACAACGAGATCCTTGATATTAGTTAGATCTAGTTCGCGACACCGAGCAGGTCAACTTCGCCGACACTGATTAAGCCGACGATCCTCGCAATCGGAGATCTTCAAAACTTGATGATCTAGAACGGTCGTCAGAGATGACCATCTCCAAAACGGCAGAGCTTTGTCATGGTCTGGTTCGTAACGTGATTCTGAGATTTTGACAGGGCCATTGAGGTTAATTTGGGATTCTAGTTATTTTTGGTCTAATTTACATGTTCTGAGTTTGTGATTTTGAGATTGTTAGTTACAAGAACTGAATTTGTTAGTCTCGGAATCGTCTGAGTTTGGATTTTTGTAAACTTGAGAAATGAAATTTTTTTCCTGACGATGATGGCAGATTTATCACTAACAACCACCTCTAGTGGTTAGTTCTGGCAGCACGATATGCGTGGGCTCGCCGGAGCTCGGTCGTGGAGGTGGCGACAACATATCTAATTTGGCTATTTGTTTGTTTGTTTTGGTGGATTTTTCATATTTTTTGTGCATTATACAATATTTACCAATAAATATTTCACTAAATTCATATTCTGATATGGTAAATGCTGTATTTATCAGTATATATTTTACTGAATTCGAATTTGAATATGGTAAATAGTGTATTTACCAGTAAATATTGTACTAAATAAGTCTAAGTCTGGTAAATATAATATGATATTTACCAGTAAATACAGTATTTACCGGTCGCTAAAGCCCGTTACTAGATTTTTGTGTAAATATGGTATTTACCAGTAAATATAGTATTTACCAGTTGCCAGAGCATATCGTTGAATTTTTGAATAAATAAGGTAAATATGGTATTTATCAGTCGCCGGCGGCTGAATTTTTAGATATATAGTATTTACTAGTAAATACGGTATTTATTGGTCGCCGAAGTCGGTCACTAGATTTTTGAATAAATATAGTAAATAGCGACTTTACCACTAAATATGACATTTACCGGTAAATATGGTATTAACTAGTCATCAAAATCAGCTGTCAGTTTTTCAGATAAATAGGGTAAATATTGTATTTATTAGTAAATACGGTATTTACCAGTAAATACAGTATTTAGCAGTCGCCGGGGTCGATGGCTAGAGTTTAGATAAATTTGATATTTACTAGTAAATATGGTATTTATTAGTAAATACAGTGTTTAGTGGCCGTAGGAGTCGGTGGCGGGTTCTTCAGATAAATATGATATTTACTAGTAAATACAGTGTTAAACGGTCACCGGAATCGGTAGTCAAATTTTCAGATAATATGATATTTACTCGTAAATACAGTATTTACTGATAAATACGATATTTACTAGTAAATATAGTGTTAAACGGTCGCCAGAATCAGTGCGTAAATTTTCAGATAAATATGATATTTACTAGTAAATTCGTATTTATTGGTAAATATAGTGTTAAATGGTCACCGAAGTTATTGGCCGTATTTTCGAGTAAATATGATATTTACTTATAAATATAGTATTTATTGATAAATACAATATTTACCTATAAATACAACGTAAAAACGGTCGCCGAAGTCGGTGGTCGGCTTTTCGGGTAAGAATGATATTTACTAGTAAATACAGTATTAAACGATAAATACAATGTTACATGTTCACCGAAAAACGATCACCGGTCGCCGAAAAACAGTCACAAACTACCTGAAAATGATCTTTGGTCGCTGGAACCGGCCGCCGGTCCCGGCCATGGTGGACTTGACTATAATCTACCTATTTTAAAAAAATATATTATAATTTACTATTTTTTTAAAAATAGATATTTAAAAAGAGGAGTGAGATGAAAAAAAAAAATTAGGAATATTTTAAAATTTTTAATAACATTTAAAATTTAAAATATGAAATTATACTATAATTTACTATTTTTACAAAATATGCTATAATTTAGTACACTTTACTAATTATGCTATTTTCTTCCATTTCCCTTTAAATAATATGGACCAATAGTGACTGGTTACACAAAAGTAAATCAAAAATAAAAAAGGCCTTTTTTATAAATGCCAACAAGTTTTGGTTATATGTCAAAACCTCTGTATATCCCCCCACCTAGCACTTGCCCACGTGGGTTCGTGTGAAAAATAACCACCCAAAAAAGAAACACCAAAAAAAAAAAAAAACCAAAACTAAAGAAAAATCAAATCTTGGGAATAGGGAAGGGAAGCATTTGCAATTGCATGACTGTTTCTCCTGGACCTCCTCCTGCTTAAACATATTGGGAGAGAGAGAGAGAGAGAGAGGGGGAGAGAGGGAGAGAGAGAGGGAGAGAGAGAGAGAGAGAAAAGAGAGAGAGAGAGAGAGAGAGAGAGAGGAGCATTGGAGTTTCCTCCTCAATTTATTTGGGTTTTTTTTTTTTGGCATAATCGCCAAAGTCTGTATCCTTCCTTTGCTTTGGACCCTCCGAAGAAGATCTTTTAAGGCTTATTTTCTTCGTATTCTGTAATGGGCTTCAGATATTCTCTCTGTTGCATTCTCCAATTCCATTATCTAAGCTGAAACACAAACAAAAATCTTCCCGTTTCATTCAATCTCTCAGATTTTTCCTTTTTCTTTTTAATTTTTTCAATGGCCAATGCATCTGGGTTCTTCACCAGCCCAACAGTTCCTCGGGTGAGGAGGAACATTCAGCCTTCGATAGGGATTTACCGATCTGGGTTTTGCTCCTCTGACGGATTCTCCAAAAGGGTTTTCTTCTGCTCCAACGCCATTAATCAAGGCGCTGAAAAGCTCTCACCTTCCGAATCTCGACTTCCCAGGTCTCTTTTCATTCGGATTTCTCTCTGTTTCATTCGTTTCGCATGCAATTGAGTTCTTTTTTTTTTAATTGAATGTTTATCCAATGGATGAACATTGTTTCGGGAGAACTGTTTAGGATCTTTACTTGGAAGCTTATCAATTGCTATCATATCTTCATAAATTTCCGTTCTTTTATTTTTATTATTATTATTATTATTATTTTGGGTACCTCGGTTGCATCGAAGTTACTGTTTTGGATTGATTTTTGCATGTCATGTCACTAAGGCGTCAATTGATTTAGAATCTATGTTGAATCACTGTTATTGTCTTTTAGAGTATAAAGTTTGTTGCTTTTGATCTCTTGAGCTTTGGTATACATGTTGTGAAGTTAATGATGAACAAGGATATTGTTATTGGGAGCTAACAATTATTGCTTGGTTGAAGAAACAATGGGTTTGAATATACCAAATTACTCTTCAGGATGGGTTATTTGTGATGAATTTTACTGATTGGGACGATATGATTCAATGAAACATCCGAATTTGATTCCATTTGGGAAGGAAAATTTTATCTGGTTAAGTGGAATTCAGCTGAATGCATAAGCTTTCTAATTCTTAGGCTAATTGGTGGGAATAAATTTTGCTTAGTTTATGGTGTAAAGACGTTCTGTTTCACCAATCGAGTTCTATAAGCAGTATATAGAAGAAATGGATAGAGTCAGAAGGGAGAAATTTGCTGTCTTATTGAGTTTGCTCTGCTGCTAATTTGCTTAAACTTACCTGTCTTCAAGAATAACAACCAAAAACAGTGAAGAAACAATAAAAAACAGTGAAGAAACAATGTGAAAACATGAGGAGACTAAACCATAACCTGTGGACCACGGTTGAAAACTCATAACATCTAATCACCCCATTACATCTTTCCTATCAAAAAAATGGAAATTGGCTTGGTTTGCTGAAACTCGTAGTTTTGAGTGTCCTATTGCAGTTTAGTATTGTTCTTGGAATTGGAAATGGCAACCTGACTGCGTTTGTACTTTCTTGTTCTGTTCCTTTAGTTGATAAATATTATAATTTTACAGGCTTGTCAGTAAAGGATGCAAGTTAGTAGGATCTGGCTCGGCAGTGCCCACTCTTAAGGTTTCCAATGATGATCTTTCAAAAATAGTTGAGACATCTGATGAATGGATATCCGTTCGTACTGGTATTCGTAATCGACGTGTCCTATCAGGTCAGTTCGTCTAGCTGTAATGCCAAGTACCATAAGTTTGATGCTGCTACTAATTTCTTGTGGCTTTTCTTCTTTCTACTTGGTTTTGGCTGGTTTTCGATAAGGTTGTTTTCCAATTCTTCTCTTTTATGAAACTTTCTCGAAATCAGGAGGGCCACTTTATGTTGAAATGACATCCTAATATCGCAATGCGGTCAATAGTTACAAATTTTCTAAGTGGGGATTTTTCTTACAGGCAAAGATAGCTTAACGTCATTATCTGTAGAGGCAGCACGGAAAGCACTTGAGATGGCGCAGGTTGATCCAGATGATATTGACCTAGTCTTGATGTGTACATCCACACCTGAGGATCTTTTTGGCAGTGCTCCTCAGGTATGTGATATCAGATGTATCAAAGAATTGGATTAATAAGAACAATAGAACATGTTAAGAAATTGCATGTCATTTTATCATCCGAAGATGTGCATGCACCTTTTCTTGTTGTATTGCATGTTTAAATAACCCTGGGAAGCTGGAATATGGCGTGTGCTCTGAAGAATCATACAAATTGAATGAGTAGTTTCTCTATAGTGTATCATGGGGAACTCTAGTCAAGTTTAGGTTTCCATATTTTGTCGTTCTCAATGCTCCATTTGGTGCATAAAGTCAAAAGTAGTACAATTATTTATTTATTTATTTAAATTATTTTAGGTCCATCTACTGACTTTTTGTTTTATATGCTTTCGATTTCAAAGATATATCTATTATAATTTTTTTTCTTTTGAAATTTGCTTCACCTTTTGTTTTGTTTTTGCTTTTTTTTCAATTTTTTTTTTAATCTCCAACTTTCCTCCGAAAGAGAGAGAAACTCGTTTGGAGAAAGAAACAATAAAAGTTAGCAGGAAATGCAAACTTTGCTCAACGTTGTTACATGTTCTAACCTTTCTTGATTTATTTATTCTAGTTTCTTTCTCTTCCTATCTATACTCACGAACACCAAATGAAATGTTCTAGAAGAGAATTGATTGGTTTTCTGCATTTGGTTCCTTAGATTAGGCTATCAAGGGATTGCTCGGTTTTTTAGCCCTAAGAACTGTTAGATGTTGCATTTTATTCATTTTTACGTGGAGGATTATTGAGCTCTTTACATTTGAGAACACACTACAGAAGCTATTAAATCTATTTTCCCGAGTACTTGTGTAGATTTATTCCTAAGTACTTGTAATATATCCACTTTAGTACTATTCTATGCCCATCAATCGTCTTTTTATTCTAATTCTCAGATCCAAAAAGCACTTGGTTGCAAAAGAAACCCTCTGGCTTACGATATCACAGCTGCGTGTAGTGGATTCGTATTGGGTCTAGTTTCTGCTGCTTGTCACATCCGGGGTAATAGTTTTTCTTTCTTGCTCGTAGAAACTCAATTCTTCTTATTTATGTCTAAATCTCTCAAAACTCTACCTATGCATACAGGTGGTGATTTTAAAAACGTTCTGGTGATTGGGGCCGATGCTCTTTCTCGATATGTCGATTGGACTGACAGAGGAACCTGTATACTCTTTGGGGATGCTGCTGGTGCTGTATTAGTACAGGTCATTATCTCCCTTTTCGGGTTGTCAATGCACAAAGACATCTCACCAGTATCACTATACTATCCTAAATTGATAGAATACATATTATGTTAGCAAGTGGGTTGATGGACATCTCATGTTTTTTTAAATTTTTTTTTAAAATTTTATGTTTTTATTTTTAACATATAATAAATAGAATTCATATTGATATAGCCTTCATGTATCAAAAGGTAAATAGATATCTTCTTGTTGATTAGCACTAATCTAGATCAAGAAAGTCTCCTATTTGTGACATTCAATTTGAGCTTATGTTGTGTAACATAGGTTCTATTACTCTAGGCAAATTAAGAAATTGCTCAAAAACGTTATGGCTTTCAAAACTCAGTCTCCTTCAAAGATTGTTTTTCACTCTTTTTGTTGGATTTGTTTTTTCCTTCATAACCAATAGTGGTCGTTTATTTTCTGGTTTGGTATATAATTTCCACTTTGTCGAGCTACTCATTAGAACTTCTAGCAGTCATAGTATAAAGTAATGCTTAGTCTGCAAAGTCTGTTGTCGTTTCTTTAAGATAGTAGGATTTCTGTTTCAAGAGTAGGATAAGATGATGGTTGTCTCACGTTGCTTTACTAAATATCCATTAATCATGAAAATATTGTGTTCTCATATTCATACTAAAAGAATTACCATACAGGCCTGTAACAGCGAAGAAGATGGTTTATTTGGTTTTGACTTGCATAGCGACGGTGATGGCCAAAGGTTTTGATTCAATTATCCTTCTCCTGGTTTCTTCTTGGGAAAGGGGTTCTTAATTATCTTTGATGAGCAATTGAGCATTTTATGACTGTACAACTCTTTTCGTAAACCGCAGGCATCTGAATGCAAGTATCAAAGAGAACGAAATGGATCATGCATTGGGTACTAATGGTTCAGTGTTGGACTTCCCTCCGCGACGCTCTAACTATTCATGCATTCAGATGAATGGAAAAGAGGTCTTCCGCTTTGCAGTGCGGTGTGTGCCGCAATCAATCGAGTCTGCTCTTGAACGGGCTGGCATCCCTAGTTCCAGCATCGATTGGTTACTGCTCCATCAGGTATGGAAAGAAGATCTAAATGCATGATTATCTTCCGAGACAAAGACTTGCTGTTGTAAAGGCAAATGTAACATTATTGCGGTGGTGCAGGCAAACCAGAGGATCATAGATGCAGTTTCTACTCGATTGGAAATCCCACAAGAGCGAGTCATATCGAACTTGGCAAACTACGGCAACACAAGTGCCGCTTCAATTCCGCTGGCATTGGATGAAGCCGTTAGAGGTGGGAAAGTGAAAGCAGGCCATACCATTGCAGCTGCAGGCTTTGGGGCTGGTCTCACTTGGGGTTCTGCTATTCTCAGATGGGGATAATGAAATTTTTTTTTTAAAAAAAAAAGAAAAAAAAAATTCAACCCCTCATTGCCCACTCTCGAAAAAACGAAGAAGTCCAAAAGAGAATTTCTCAAAAACAAAGCAGTCCAGTTTTGCAGTTGTTGTTTCCATGTTCCCATATGTAATGAATATGTTCAGCATCACCTCCCATTTGATTGTTTGGCTTTTGTCACTTTTGTTTCTTTACCTTAGTTTTTGGCAACCTTAATAAAATTAATTTATTTTTCCCTCTCTCTCAACTCCGAAACATGCCTTATATATTATAAAAGCTCAATTTAGAGAAATTTGTTACGATTGACTACTAAATAAAGTGAATTTAGCAAAATGAAAAGTGGTCGCGCCCAGTCATTCGTATTATTATCATAGATGAAAGATCAGAGTACGTCAACACATAGAATAGAATATTTAGATTAAAATGTCTATTCAAATTAAAATGTGATTTTAATAATAAAATTTAAATTTTAAACTCCAGGGTCATAATAATATTTCTACTAAAGTCATTTTTCTTTGATTTGTCTAATAAAGACATCAATCATAAACTTAAACAAAAATGGAATTATTGTGAATTACATGTAATTCTCACACTGCATCTTTGCTTGCAGTGAATTAAATAACTAACAAATAAACAAGTAAAAATTAATAAATAATAATTTACAACAATAATGCAAAATATTTATTATGAATCAAAAGAAGACGAAAGGTCAGCGAAGAAGAGAAGGTTGTCGGAGTCTGTCAGTAATTCTTTTCAAAACACCTTCAATGGCGATATCAAAAGCGTCCTTCTTCTCTCCCAAACCCATGGAACTTCCATGCCTTCTGTACATCACTCTCCCCATCATCTCCACCACTTTCTCTCTCATCTTTTTCACTCTAGCCCTCGGAATCCCCTGCAACACCTCCACGATCCTCAGTCCCTTGAACACCACCTCCTCCTTGGGAATCGTGACCGAGAACTTGTCGAACTCCGCCTCCGGCAGGTGCCATCCGTACTGCGACCTCGCCGATTGATCCTCGAAGAACACCGGAATGCAGCCGGCGAGAATCCCGTCGAACGTCGACCGCCGCGTCGGGGTGTCACCCGGCGGCTGCAGGCAGAAGCTCGACTCCAGCATCGCCCTCATGAACCGGATCGGATCGTGCTCGCAAACTCCGTTCGAGCAGTCCACAACTCTGCATAGCTCCGAGTAACTCGTTCCGTACGGTCCGTAACCGTAACCGCCGCCAGATCCCGAGGCAGCGGTTGCAGAGGCGGTTAGGTTGTCGCACTCGGCGCGAATGCTGCGGCGGATGTTTGGCGTACCGGCGGAGGAGGACGAGACGGTTCCGCCTCCGCCGACGAACAGCATGAGCGTGGAGCGGCGCGTACGGCGGACGCGGTTTCTCCACGCGTCGAAGAGCGCGAGGTTGGGCGGATGAAAGGACGTCGGATAAGGAACGGCCTGCTCCTGCCACGGCCACGCGCGGGACTCGAGCGTGAGTGCCGTGACGTTGAAGAACTCGGGGATCTCCAGGAACGACGTCCCCCACACCGGCGGATCGGCCGCCGGAGACTGGGAGAAGTCCCATGCTTGGCGAGCCATTACCAGAAAGTGGTCATGACCACCGCGTCGGTCCCACGCGCCGGGGCCATCCGTCTGCAAGAAGTCGAAGAGGTCGAGGCCGTGATCGGCGCTGGAGTTGACGGCGGGGCCGTAGAGATACCGAAGGGCGTCGATGCCGGCGTAGTAAGGGAGGTAGATGGCATCGGCGGAGGAGGGATCGGAGGTGAGGCATGGGTATTCGAGCATACGGCGATGGAAGAGGAGTTCCAGCATCATGGGGTCAGTTCGGTACCAGCTGTGGGAGCGGTTGTGGGTCTTCCGGCCGAGGCCGTGGTTGGCGAGGAAAGGGCAGAAGTCGCCGGAGATCGGGTACTCTGAACAGTTCGCGAGGAGATCGAGGTTGAAACGAGGCGGGAGACGGCGGATGTGGATCCGACGGTTGCTGCAGTCGGGTTGGTGCATATCATTGTCGGAGATTTTCTGAGACAAGACGGATTGGGATAGGATTACGAAGAAGAATAAGGAGGAGGAGGAGGAGAAGAAGGAATAATTTTTGCAGGCCATGGAAGAGAGAGAGAGAGAGAGAGATTGGGTGTTGCGGAGAATTACAAGGAAAAGTAGAGAAAATGGTCGGACTTTTTTTTGTCTCCCTCCTTACCCCATTACACAGTCATACATAGTGTTGACGAAATTATCTTTTAATTATTTGTTATTTGTTATTTTTTTTGTTTTTTTGTTTTTTTTGATTTTTTGGGTTTTGGGTATGGAAGTAAATTTTTGTTCTCTTACTACTAATCTCCTCTGTTTCTCTCTGTTTTTCTGAAGACAAAATGTGTTTTATTAACTACATACTTATAAAAATAAAATAACAAAAAAAAAGGATTTATTAACTGCATGGCATGAGAAGTTGGATGGAGTTTGACCCGGGAAATGTCGTACTGTAAAAAAATCATTTCCACTTAATGCGCCGGCGTTTCCTGAAAAAAACAAAAAAGGGGAAAAAAAGAGAAAAGTTGCTGTGTGGGCTAAGTTTTTGAATTAGGGCCCATGAATACTGAAAATGGCCCATAAAATTTTGGGTTGTATCGGTGGAGTGCATTACACTGTTACACATGGTATAGATAGCGGGTTAAAAATAGAAAGGAAAATGTCCTCAAATTATTGATGATTGCACAAAATAACCAAAACTCCTCCAAGCAAGGAAAAAATAACGCTATTTTTGTTATAATTAGCAAGGAGAGCAAAACCAATAAATTTCAAATGTAACCAATCATTAACATAAATTTCTATGAAAGAAGAATGGTAATTCTCAAAAAAAAAAAAAAAAAAAAAGAATGGTAGAGCGCCATGTAAATGTAGCATGGAACTTGTGAAAGAACCAAACAAGCCACTTTCTGCCTTGTACAAATACTCTGAAAGCATCCTTAACAAGAGCACTGAATACAAAAGTTCCATTAACCAAATTTACAAGACCATCAAAACTAAAACATTCAAGAAAACAATTAAAGTGCCTCAGTTTATTGAGAAAGCGTCCAAAGGAAAAAATTCTTTTCCTCTACAACATGCTGACAAGCAACAAGTACAACAAGATCAACTGATCTGAAATTAACACTCCATCATTCAAAACTCCAATAAACAATGGATCATGTTGAATTAGTACAAGAACAAGAAACATAATCCCAAAACAATTTTTAGTACTCCTCATCAAAGATTACACAAATGGATTGACTAATTAAGAGGGGTCTTGCAAGCTTGAAACTCAGCGACCAAATCAGGATCTCTAAACCCAACAAGAAATTGGGCAAGCCCTTCAAGAAACATAGCAGCCTGGTACACACTCGTGGCCCCAATTATCTCAGCCAAAACACTTCTCCTCAGCCTGTTGGCGTCCACCAACACCCCCACCATCTCATCCATCTCCGCCATCACCGCCTTCCCCACCACCGCCTTCCCCGCCTCCTCCTCCTTGTCCCTCCTCCTCCTTCCACCCCAATAATCTCCTGCAACCGTCTGCACAAACCTCTCCTGCGCCTTCCTCGCCCGCTCCGCCAGCGCCGGTACCATCAGCCGGACCCCACACTCTATCTGATCGATCCGCGCCATCAGACTCGCCGGCGGATTCCTCCACGCCATGACAATGTGCCACGGCCGGTTAAACAGTTCGTTCACATCATTGTTGTTGTTGTTGTTCAAGAGGAAGCGGTTTCGGAGGTTGGCGGATTGGAAAACGTCGTTGTTCTCGTCGTTCTCGTCGTCGTCGCTGAGGAAGGAGCGGAGGAGGTTGGTGAAGAGGTAGGGGTGGAGGTCGCTGAGCCAGAGGAAGGGGGTCTCGAAAGGGGTGCGCCAGGCGGAGGGGTGGAGGAGGTGGGCGACGTCGTCGGAGGCGGCGGAGAGATCGAGGGCGTCGTAGTAGGAGGTGAGGTGGTGGCGGAGGATGTCGACGTGGGTGGAGAGCTGGGCGACCGAGGACTCGTGCATGGCGCGGCGGAGGCTGGGGAGGAGCCGGTTCTTGAGGAGATCGAACCACTCCTCGTGGTACTCCTTGAACGGACGCCGGCGGTGGTTGTTACTGCCGGCTTTCTTCCAGCATGGGATTAAGGATTTCATCATTATCTTGGGGGGTTTTCTTTGGGTTAATTTCTTCTTCTTCTTCTTCTTCTTCTTCTTCTTCTTTTCTTTCTTTCTTTTCTTCTTGTTTGTTTCGATGGAGAGAGTGATTCAGGTTTTGGAGGGGTGACCGTTATATATAGGTAACGGTTTTCTTTTTGAATTTGCTAATGGGCTGTTAATGGGCCTTCCCTTGACGGCCTAAATGGGATAAATAATGAATATAACGGAAATTAGTAGAAAATACGTCTATGAAAAGTTTAAAAGAAATATATAGGCTAATTTTTAGTTATAAAAATTAATACGCCATAACTTATTAAGTTATGGTTCATAACCAGATAAGCAAGTTATGGACAAACTTGTCAAGTTATGGTCCATAGCCAGACAAGTTACAGACAAAAATTGTGATTTATGGATAATAACTTGTCAAGTTATGGTTCATAACCAGACAAGTTATGGACGAAAACAGTAATTTGGCATATTTATAAACTTATGTAAACTATTGACCTATTAATTTTAATTCATCTCAAGTCTTGACCTATTTTTCTCTTTCTCCCATAAAAATTCATACAGTATAAAATATAACATTATGTGATAATTACTATTTAATTTTTCTATATTATGATATTTTAAAAGTTTTACTATATATCAATTAAGGTATGAAATTTTTTCATGTAGTGTAATCATCTCTTGTTTGTGTTTTGTTTTTTTTTAAGATAATTGATTACAAAATGCTACGATTGGCTTAAGTTTCAAAATAAACTAACTTCTTGAAGAGCATGTTATAAAGTTTGTTAATTTTGGTACTTTTAAATTTATTGGAATTTCATTCTTTTTTATTTTTTTTAGTTTCTACTGTTTCCTCACATCGTTAGATGTAATTTTTAGCAGTCCATGAATGAAAATGTCAATGATCAAGTGATACATGCATTTATAAACGCGTGTGAATATCAAGTTTACCAAATTTATTAGATGAGTGTGAGATTAAGATTGTATGCCAGAATAGGCTTTAAGACTAAAACATAAAGGAATATTGAGTGAGGCGTTAGGGAATTTTATTATATCGAGATAATAATGAAAAAAGTAGAATATCATATAGGAAGGCCGAGAAAAAATAGACTATATCGAAGCATAAACTGATGGAATTGTTGAAAATGGAGACAACCCGGGAAACATCTTATTGCTCGGAATTGCGCTTATAACTTAATTATAAAGTCATATATAGTTGTAATTGATCAGGGCTATGAATATATGGAACTGACTCATGATATCATCTTGAATTTAATTAGGTTGATAGAAGAGGTTACACGATCTAGCACAATATTTAAGTTCTTGGATATATCAATGAAAAACAATACATTTAACATCACAAATGAGATCCGGTAGCTCTAATTAACGATAGCATATTTGGTCTACATGTTCTTTTTTTTTTCTTTTTTTTTTTTTAATGTTCCTTCTGCGTTCTCCAAGTCACATCAAATTAAAATCTTTTACCTGACACGATATTTAATCGATATAGCTATGATATTTGAATTGACATGTCAGTGAAGAGATATATAAGTAGTTATACAAAAAAAGCAAAGAGTCAAATGTGCTACAAATATACAAATATAAACAGTCTGTATAATACACATAATAAAATATGTATTGTATTATATTATAGTGTATGTTATACATTTCTTAGTTGATCCAGATTCCAGTGCACTGACACAAATCCTAAGACCTCCATCGGGTCAGGTTCACAAAAATGGTAACCTTTTTATTTTCCAAATTGGGATTGAAATGCAACAAAGCTAGCTGTTAATGATCAGAAGCAAATATTTATTTTATAAGCAAGTAGATGCATTAAGATGAAATAAGAAAACTCAAGTGTAAGTCTAGGGATATTTAAGCTTCATATCCGCACACCGGATATATAGATACATACATATATATAGATATATTAGCATCTTCTTACTTTAATACATTATGCGAATTGGTTCAATTATTTATCTCAAATTGGACCATGCAGGATAAAATGCGACAGTCTTATCTCCAATAAGACTGTTTTAATTAATTGATAATTATGACCATTCTGATTAATAATTACGCTGTTTTAATTAATGATTTCTGCAAACATCACCTGGACTGAAATTAAAGGTGCGTGGCCTATATAAACTACGTGTGTCAATATATATAACTATACATACATAATTTTATGAGCATTCTGATCATGATGATACAAATATAATATATCTCTAGTTGATCATGTGATCGGTCAGTATATATGCATAAAACCAAAACCATTATTTTGTCAGCGCACAATTCTGGCCGAAGAAATGTGCAGTCCTTATCCATATTATGATTATAAGAACAATACCGTTATGTTTTGATTCTCATAATTATATCCATTTCAGCTATCGACTGATCATGAGTAAATTAAAGAGAACAACAGTTGCAAGTGGGTCATAGAAGAGATCCAGAGATAGAGGAAATCGAACATATATATGATATATATATATATATATATATATATAATATCATGTACCCTTGTATGTAGTGATCCCTTAGAAGAAAGGATCGAAGGATCAAAACACAAATAACTCATTATAATCAAGTAGCTAGTAGCTTTATAGTGTCTCTTTGTCGTGTATATCTCTTTTATATATGCTGCTGGCGTTCCCTGCAGGTTTTAGAGGTTTTTTTTTAAGAAAAAAAAAATTGAATAACAAAAAGGAAAATACAAGTTGGGGAACGTGTATGGACAGTAGAAATATATATATATATATATATATATATATATATATATATATGTTCAGTTTTGAGGTAATTTGATGAGGTTTTTAGTTCAAATATATATATAAATACGCAGTGGGAACTCAGGAGGATATGTAGATCAGTTCTGTATTGATGATCTGCAGGTCAAACTGAACTTTAATTTCAAATCTTCTGTACGGCTCTCAAGAACCATCGCTTATGTCCTTACCGATAATTAGGTTATAGTGACAACTAAAATTAGGTATATTTTGTTTTAACTTATTAGTATAACTTATGATATATGTATATATATATATATATATGCACACATATATTATGGGCCACTAAATTCGAATTTTTAATTTGAGTTGAGATGTGATTTTATGTGAGAGCTTTTTACTATAGTAAAAAAGTTAAATGTGGCTGTTTCTGAGAGCTTTTTACTGTAGCAAAACTCGAATCGGTGAAATGAACGAGACCTATAGCTATTTTTGTTTTGAATTAGAACGTAACCATTGGGAACCCTACTCACTAAATAATATCCATATTAAGTCATAACTATTTGTATTGGGAGACGAAGTACATATGTACACAGTATCTTTATAAAGAGCTAAATTTAATATCATATCGGTAACTCAAAAATATATACTTTAAAGTGCTTATTCAAAGACTTAAACTTGAGACATCGTAGGAAGCTTCACGCCACTAAGCTAGCTACCACCTGTGCTTATTGGACAACTAATTAGGTTTTGGTACTTGTACATTGCTCGAACCTTTCATGGCTTTTGACACATTTTTGTTTCTGAATTTTTTTAATTCATTTTCATTTTAATTTTTAAATTTTCGAAACAGTAGCATTACACTAGTGTCAGTAGTGTTATTTTAGTGAGACAAGATTAAAATGCTATAAAATAAATTTTCAAAAACGAAAGAATCACATCATGAAAAGTTTAAGGGGCATTACTTAAGTGTGAAAAAATATCATTATTAATATTCTGTTCAAAACTAAATTTCGGTTAACAAATATTACAGTAATTTTCTACTAAAACGAAACTATCTGTTAAGAAAAAAAAAATTAAGAGACGTAAGTAGCAAAATGTTAGAAACTTCAGGAACACACCATATACAGTATGCTACTGCTAAAAAGTAAAAACTCTATTCCTTTCACAAGGCAGATTCCTGGTTAATTACAGTTTTGGTTTTGAAAAACAAAAACAAAATACAAGTTGGGGACAGGGAAGAAGGTTATAATATTATCTAATGGTTTTGATGAGGCTTTTTGCTTTTCTATACAAGTGGGAAGTCAATGAACGATATATGTGCATGCACCTCACAACTACTCGGCATATAATTTGTCGCACTTGTCTGATCAGTTCTGTATTAGATCGCATGCATGCACACACGCGTGCATACACACATATATAAATGTGTCTGTGTCTATACTCTATAATCATACATACACACACACACACATATATATATATATATTGTCAAAGTGAATTTCACAGCTTCTATATAGTCCCAATATTAAATGCATGAATCTCATATATCCCTGTTGCTTATATTAATATGAAGATATATTTGGCGTACGTTTCAGAGAGGAACGATTAATTTTGAGAATATAAACAAAAGCCATTAATAATGTCGAGATGTTAATACATATATATATATATATATGTCTATATGTAAGAAGCTGTCTTTTCATTAATTCTCTTTTAAAATCTTATCCTTCAATTAGATTGGCCACTGTTCTTATCTCTATATCCTTGGCTTCCTCTTTTATCTGACTCACTATCGATCACGATTCAATAGTACTGAAACAAGTATTTAGATATATACTAACAAAGTTCTTCTGCATTATTTTTCCATTAAATATGTTATCCATGCATCAATCAAAATTTTTCATGATCAGTTCTTGTCTCACGTACTGTGGCTTATATGTGATCTTAGGTATATATATATATATATATATATATATATATATATCTGTGTGTGTGTGTATTCATAATTATTTATATATATTTATATCATGAATATTAATTCTAATACTAGATATCAAATAGTGAGTGCGGCGCCACGAAGCGGAGTCCAACAAAGATATACATACACACACATATATAAAAAATATATAATAACATATAATTAGGTCTAGGAAATATATATAACGAATCTGGCTGTCCTCATGATGAAACAACAATGAAACTCCAAACGTCCCTCAAAACAACAAGAAAGGCGAGAATCATTTGTGCTTAATCATAATTGAGAGT